TCAAGCTTAGGACCATCAGGAGCCATGATACAGAAGCATGTATCTCTCCAATTCGCAAACGGAGCAGTGAACAAGTTGAAGTTACTCATGTACCTGAACTTCATGTTCATATCTCTGGCGTAATACGCTTTCTTCTCCTTCACATCGAGCTCGTGAAATCTTCAAACTCCATGTTTCATCTCTTCGAAAACGCTTAAAGGTATCCCATGGTTGACGACCTGAAAAAAAAACCCATGTTTTCGATGCATGCCTGACGTGCTCGACAGTCTCGTTGTACCGCAATGGGTCATCTCCAATGCCTTTTAATCAATGACCGAGATTTTGAATTGGGTTTTCTCGGTAGTCGTCAGACTTTTTTTTGAGTTAGGCGGCACGATGAACATACGAGGGACCTTGGTGATTCCGACATCAACCAGACCTTTGATGCCGACTTTTGAATCGGCGGATGCTTTCAGTTCCTTTTGTCGGTCGTAGTTGGAATCTTCATTGACTTTAGTTTTGCCCGTTACCACCATTTTTCTTCTCTGTTTTGATGTAAATACGCGGTGGAGATTATATGAGAGTATGGAATAAAGTTATAGAGGAATTTAGTTATCAGTCGAGTGGCTAGAAATCAACCACGTTCAGGGATGAAGACAGTAGTGATTGCCACATTTTAAATGATGATAATTAATCGCTTTCACCTACAACCTGGAGATTGGCAAAATGATGATGGGCAACGACATGGGTGAAGTAAGAAAAGGAGAAGAAGATAGAGAGGGAAGTGGATTACAAGAAAGGAAAGTCGTTCCTCTTTTCCCTTTCTCAAGCAAGTAGCCCTTTTTAAATAAAAAAAATACTAAAAGTAGATTTGAAGAAGATAGTGGCGTGTGGAAAAAATGGAGAGTAGTGGAATGGGTAGGTGGGGTAGTGGGCTGTTTGTGGTTGAGATAATGATGGGTGCTTGCAAAATAAAATAAATAATAAATAATAAATATAATAATAATTATTATTATTATTATAATAAATGTATATGTATATATATATATATAATAAAATAAAAATATATAAAAAACAAAATAACTCTGGGCGAAAATGAGTATCTGCAAAGACGTGCTAGAAAAAAAAGTATTTTTTTAATTTGACTTATAAATTTTAGATGGGATATCGTTTTGATCTTACAATTATGATAAAATATCAGTTTGATCCCTGAATTTGACCAAAATCTCTCGTCGTCAATTGTCTTACTCTTTCACCAATATCGTCGCTGGTCACTACCAGTGTCGGCATTGATGACCTTTGGACCCTAAAATTTCCAATTTACTCATTTTTATCTCTTGAATGCTAGTGATGAATATAGAAAAAATTTATTAGCTGGACTAATATAAAGATAATAAAAAATTATCTAAAATAATTCGTATATACTTTTTAATTTAAAAATATAATAACAACTATATATATTTAAATCGAATATAAAAAATATATTCTTTAATTTCAAATTTGAATAATCATTTATATATATGTATAGTTGTTATGGTCATGGTTATGGCCTGTGGGGTTGGCTTACAGGTAAAAAAGCATGAAGTATGGAGAAGAGCAAAAGGCAACTATTGATGGCACGTTTTATTTCTATGGGACTGCCAAATTGATTAGAAAAAGATAGAAACATTTGTAATGTGAAACCAATTGTATAAAAGCGTAATGAGGTTCTGTTTACAGTAGGCGTTATAAACGCACTAAATTTTAGAAAAGTAAACTCCAATTACAAACCAATAATGCTTGCTTGCTTGCTTTTAGATAGTGCGTGCCCAGTGCCTCCCTACAACACCACCTTTTTCCTCAAGATCGTACAATATAATATATGCTTTCTAATTACCCAAAAATTAAAGATTGAATAAAAGCCATTATGGCCTTCAACAACAAACCCAAGAAGTCCCATCTGATTTCATCCCATTCTAATTTCGTCACCGCTCTTCTCTTCATACTTGCCTTCACCGTTCCTCTCCTCTTTATCATCATCCTTCACACCTCTTCGTCCTCCGGTTGCACCCCTTTTGCTCCTAACAAAGTCGCGCCTTGGTCTGGCGACCTTCGGAATGTGCAGTTTGCTTGGAATCGTCTTCCTTTCCCAATTCAATCTCCTCCCGTCGTGCTCAAAATCGCTGTTTTTTCACGGAAATGGCCTACTGGCACCACTCCTGGCGGCATGGAACGTCATGCCTACACCTTGCACGCGGCTCTAGCTCGCCGCGGCCACCGTGTTCATGTGTTTACGTCCCCTATAGTCGATAATAACATAGACCACCGCGATGGCTACCCGAGAATTCGTTGCCATGAAGGTGAAGCTGGTAAGTGGAGATACAACAAAGCTTGGGAGCTCTTCAATGAAGAGAACCGGCGTGAACCGTTCGACGTCGTCCATTCGGAAAGTGTGGCTCTTCCTCATTGGTTGGCTCGTGATCTCAAGAACCTAGCTGTCTCGTGGCACGGTATAGCGCTCGAGAGCTTCCAATCGAGTATCTACCAGGATTTAACTCGGAAGCCTAATGAGCCCATGTCGCCTGCTTTCAATGATAGTTTATACGGGGTTGTTCCGAAAGTACTTAACGAAATTAGATTCTTTCGCAACTATAATCATCATGTTGCGATCAGTGATAGCTGCGGAGAGATGTTGAGAGACGTGTATCAGATCCCGAAGAGACGAGTTCATGTCGTCCTCAACGGCGTCGATGAAACCGGCTTCCGAAACAACTTATCATTAGGCCTTGAGTTCAGGTCCAAAATTGGTGTCCCCATAAATGGTAGTTTGGTGCTCGGAGTGGCTGGAAGATTGGTTAAGGACAAAGGGCATCCTCTTCTTTACGAAGCTTTCTCCAAGCTCGTAAAAAAGCACCCTCTTGTGCACTTGATCGTGGCGGGGAGCGGACCGTGGGAGAACCGATACAAGGAATTAGGTCCTCGTGTACAAGTTTTGGGGTCTATGAGTCCACTGGAGCTGAAGGCGTTCTACAATGCTATCGATATTTTCGTGAACCCGACGCTGAGGCCTCAAGGGTTGGATCTGACGCTGATGGAAGCGATGATGAGCGGAAAAACGGTGATTGCATCGAGATTCCCGAGCATTAAAGGCAGCATTGTCGTTAACGATGAACTCGGTTTCATGTTTGCGCCGAACGTGGAGTCGTTGTTGGAGGCGTTAGAGGAGGCGGTGAGAGAAGGACCAAAGAGGCTAGCAGAAAGGGGAAAAGCGTGTCAGGAATATGCAGGTTCCATGTTCACAGCAAGCAAGATGGCATTGGCATACGAGAGATTGTTTCTTTGTATAAAAAATGAGACATTTTGTGTGTATCCTTAGGATGTGGTATCATGTATCAATGTTTTTACTACTTTGATAAATTTTAGTTTCATTTTCATCTTAACGAAAGATTTTAGAAAATACAATAGCTAGATTGAGGAACAATAGCCTTTCTCTTCTTCTAAAATATGTTTTTTAGGCTTAATATTAAAAATAAGTGTCTAAATTATACCTTGAAAAATGTTTTAGCGTTTAAAGAATTTTTCGTTAAAATTAGGTGTTTAATGTTTTAACCGTTATACTTTTAGGTGCCCGACGTTGATCGTCGTTAGGTGACACGTGTTATATTATGATAATTTTGAAAATTTAATTTAAAAAATTATTTAAAAAAACAACCCAACGACTCGTGTCTTCTCCCATCTCACCCTTCTCCCTTTTCCTTTCTTTTTTCCTTTTCATAGTCGTCGGTTGGTCAACGGCAACCATTACCGCTACCATCATCAACACTAGTGTCGATCCCCGATATTACACATACCATGCCACCAGGCTATCAGCTTAACTCGCATTCTAACTACTACAAAAACCACTCTCTGCTTAGAAGCTTTGGTTGGAGATCTTGATGATGCAGTTTTCTATTCTGGGAATAACCGTACACCAAATATGTTCTCAAAGTTTTCAACCTCACTGACATCTTCCGTGAACCTAGCTGACATTAATTTTGGTCTGTTTTTAATATTTAAAATTTTGATTTCTTTTAAAATCATACTTAAAATTTAATTTTTTTTTATTTTATTTTAATATTTATGCTTAAAATTTAACATTAATTTTTTTTAAATTGAACATTTAGGTACTAAAACAAACCAAAATTTATAGTTAAAGTACTAAACGAGTTAAGTTTTTAACAGTTGATACTAAATTGAAATGAAAACAAAACATTAGATATGATTTTAAAAATTAAAAAGTTTAAACACTAAAATGAACTAACACTGATAATTTAAGTACTAAATGTATGGTTTATCCAATAAAAATTACTCAACCTCACCTCTATTTCCGTCCGCTACTATATTTCCCCTATTATTTTGGGGTGCATCTTCAACATTATACCCAAACATTCTTTCTATGCAGGATCTTGTAGTAAAGGAAGAAAGATTACTTCAAGCCATAAAAGCCATGAATGATGTCAAGGAGATGTCTGGGTGACTTTTATCCTGATATCTCATTCCTTTTATTTTAAAGAAATATCAAAATATCAAAAGTTTACATAAAGTGTGAATAATTACATAAGAGAAATGTTGATGGAACAAAGATGATTTTATGGATCGATGGCGATTCATTCCTTATAATTTAAATGAAGAATCGAAATCGATGATTGATCGATAATGACCGATAATTTGAAGATATTGATCGATGTAGATTAATGATGAGAACTTTGTAATTAAGGAGAAAATAGTCAAAGCCATATTTTTGTCTATTACTAGGTCTATATATTGACGGTGAATCGACCTTTTTTACATAATTGTATCAGACTAAGATGTCAAGCAGCTTGAATCTGGAAATGCGATCTTAAAACGTCATTTGTGGAGTTCAAATCTAAAATGTAAGTCCAATCCAAAAGTGGGCTAGTCCAGTTGGGTTGAAAAGCCCGTATTGTAATATACTGATCTGATCTCCGTTAAAAGCTCTAAACCCTGATCCCATCATTTCTTCGTTGTTGTGATGTCGTCCATTCCTTTCTAGTTTCGTTTCCCTCTTCCCAGTGGACACCTTGCCTGCATTCCGCAGTCAATTGAATTGTCTACCTGCCTAGTCTTTTAGTTTTTGCAAGCCGAGTTAGCTGAGTCGACTCTCGGAAGGGGTGTAAGTAGGTGGGTAAAAAAAATATATATGTTTGTTGTGTGGAAATGGGTATGAGCGTGGCTGCTTATTATCCTCTTGATATCCCATGAACCAATGATCCCGTTCCCATTTTCAATTTAACCATTTTCGTTTGCTTATCTTTTCCCAAAAACATTGTTAGCAATGGATGTGAGGAGACTGGCGGCTGTCACCAAGCCCATCTATATCTCCACCCCAATCACTCGCCCCTTGACCTGCGTAACATCGTCGTCTACCACCCTTTCTCCCGCTGTTCCACAGCTCAATCCTTCGCCTCCACCGCCTGTGAATCCAATCCATTCCTCCTCCCACCCTAATAACCGGAGTTTGCTGGATAGTCTGTCTTCTATTCTCTCTAAGCCATCCCTGGATTCGTCCAGATCCAAACAGCTCATTCCTCTTTTGTCCCCTTCCGATTTTGATCGATTCTTCTTCGATGTTTCCTCCCGTGTTAATCCCAAAACCACTTTGAACTTTTTTTCCCTTGCTTCCCGTTCTTTTAACTTCCGTTTTACGCTTCGGTCCTATTGTGTTTTGATTCTTTTGCTTCTTTCCAATCATTCTTCTGCTGCTAGGTTGCTTTTGATTCGTTTGATTGATGGGAAGCTGCCACTTTTCTCTCCTGACAATCGTACCATTAATCATATTCAGATTGCCAGTGCATTGGCGGATTTGGATACCTCTTTTAAGGGGGTTGCGGGGTTGATTTGTTGCTGCATCTCTATTGCACCCAGTTCAAGAATGTGGGTTTTACTTGCGCTATTGATGTCTTTTTCACACTCGCGGACAAGGGTATTTTTCCTTCTTTCAAGACTTGCAACTTTTTCTTGAATTCTTTGGTTAAGGCTGATGAACTGCAAAAGGCGTGCCAAGTATTTGAAATTTTGTCTCGTTCCATCTCTCTTGATGTCTACTTGTGTACCACCATGATCAATGGATTTTGCAAGGGTGGCAGAATTCAGGACGCCCTCAACCTGTTCTCTACAATGGAAAGCCTGGGTATCTCTCCGAATGTAGTCACCTATAATAATATTGTCCACGGATTATGTAAGAGTGGCAGACTGGATGAGGCATTTCAGATTAAACAGAACATGACGAAACCGGGAGTTGAACCCAGCCTCATTACATATAGTGTTCTTATCAATGGTTTGATTAAATTGGATAAATTTGCGGAAGCCAATTCAGTTTTGAAGGAAATGTCTGATAAGGGCTTTATCCCGAATGAGTTTGTATATAATACATTAATTGCTGGCTACTGCAAAATGGGAAAAATGGATGAGGCACTTAGGATAAAGGATCGCATGCTGTTCAATGGGTTGGAGCCTAATTCTGTAACATTCAATTCGCTTATGCAGGGTTTTTGCAGGATTGGCCAAATGGAGCATGCTGAGAATCTTTTAAGGGAAATGTTAACTAGAGGGTTGTCTATAAGCATTGGCTCATTTAGTTCTGTAATTCAATGGTTATGCTTGAAGTCTAGGTTTGATTCTGCTCTACGTTTTACCAAGGAAATGTTGTTGAGAGGTTTAAGGCCCAATGACGGGCTGATGACTATGTTGGTTGGCGGACTTTGCAAGGAAAAAAAGTATTTCGAGGCTATTGAGCTTTGGTTTAATCTTTCTGAGAAAGGATTTCCTGCTAACATTGTGACCTCAAATGCTTTAATTCATGGTTTATGCGAGGCAGGTCAGATGCAAGAGGTTATCAGGCTTCTAAAGGAGATGTCACAGAGGGGCTTGGCATTGGATAGCGTCTCATACAACACACTCATCTTGAGATGTTGCAAAGAGGGGAGAGTGGAAGAAGGTTTTAGGTTAAAGGAAGAGATGTTTAAGCGGGGAATCCAGCCTGACATTTACACTTACAATTTGCTTATACATGGCATTTCAAATTTGGGGAAAATGGAAGATGCTGTCAAGGTTTGGGATGAAAGCAAAAGACATGGTTTAGTTTCCAATGTTTTTACATATGCAATCTTGATAGATGGATATTGTACAGTTGATCAAATTGAGGAGTGTCAAAATTTGTTGGATGACTTGGTTGCTAACAAAGTGGAGCCCAACATTGTTATTTACAATACACTGATTAATGCTTACTGTAAAAATGGGAATATGATGTTGGCCTTTCAACTTCGTGATGACATGAAAAGCAGGGGCATCCTACCAAATATTGCCACATATTCTTCTTTAATACACGGAATGTGCAAATTGGGTCTTCCTGATGATGCAATACAACTTATTGTGGAAATGAGAGGTTTGGACTTGTTGCCAAATGTCATATGTTATACCGCACTAGTTAGCGGTTATTGTAGGCTAGGTCAGATGGATAAAGCTGCGAGTCTTATTAAAGAAATGTCTTCTTATAACGTACAACCGAATAAAATTACCTATACTGTCATGATCGATGGATACTGCAAATTGGGTAATATGAAAGAAGCCACAAAGCTTCTAACTCAGATGATTAAAAATGGAATTGCACCAGATGTTGTCACTTATAATGCCTTTATGAATGGGTTATGTAAGGAGGGAAGGGTGGATGACTCTTTTAGAGTATGTGATGGTATGAATAGTGAAGGATTAGCATTAGATGATATTACATATACGACTTTGGTCCATGGGTGCTATCATCCGTCAGCATTCTCTAATCAAAAATGAAGTTCTTGAAAGTTGGGAGCATGTTTCTGTATGGTATAGTCTTGCTGTGATATCTTACTAGATCCATGCAATAAAATTATATATGATGTCCTACTCAGGGAGGTTGTTGTTTTACAATGTTTGATCATTTGTATTTTGCATTGTTCTTTATCAGGAAAGCTTGTTGACTACGGGGCAGTAATGATACTTCTCTTTTTAGAATTCTGTACTGGTTGTTAGACATCTGAGGTTCGTTCATTGCTTCATCTTGTTATTCGTAATCTTATTATTACTCTTGCATTTAAGCTTTTTGCCTAACGGTTCTGCTAGGTGTTTTTTTATGCTGTGACTGGATTTCTATCCAATATAATAATTGTACAAATTCTTTACTTATTGACCTTCCTGGCAGGTTGTCAGAAGCAATGGAGTACAAGGCCTTGCTTGGACTTTTAAGGTACTTTCTAGCATCTTTTATATTGCTTTAATATACTTCAGGGTCTGGTTCACTAGTCATGATTTTTCCCTGACATTTTCTTGTTGCGCTTGCTACAAGTTTCTATTGACTAGGCTGGTTTGCAACAAAAGTATTTACTGGGTACCTGACATAGGACAGATTGAGATGTCTCTAGTAGACTTTTTACAGATTAAAATCGGAAAGATGGTTTTCCTTTTGTTTATTCTGAAGTTTAGTCTTAATACTTTATTCTAATACTTTTAAAAGGACAACTCTAGCTATAGTTGTGGTTTAGAGGTCTTAACTATTCATTTAAAGTCACTTGGACTGAATAATCAGAGTTTAGTATTCTTTTGGCTTGCTTAATTTGAGAAGCTTATTTAAAATGTATGTTATGATTTTAACTCTTGAAATTCGAAAGAATTATGCTGACAATCAACACTCCTCATAATTGCGTAATTGTGTGTAATTCATATAATTTGGGGCTTTGAATAAAACTTAATAAACAGTGGCACCCTATCTTTCGGGGTTATCTCCAATGTAGGTGCAGTTATTTTCGAGTCAAGTCTTTGGTATAATATTTTAGTAGTCTCCACTGAGGACAAGTACATTTTTAGGTTCACTTTTTCTCATGCCATTAGAACCTGCCCTAATTGTTGAGGGGAACATCTAGCATGTGTGATAAGAAATAAAATGCCATTATTCCAAATATCACCTGCCCTAGAGCACAATTTACAAATTTGCATATGAAAGTACACTTTATCAGAAAAGTATCTATCAGTTCTTTATATGGTTATTTATTATGGACAAGTATTATGTAGAAACTATTGCACTATTACCTATCAGGATATTTCAAGTTCCAAGCTATGAAAAATCATTTAAAATTGACATACAGAAATGAACAAGAATCCAATATAAGAATCTCTGATGTGGGACCAGAAAATAGAGATAGAGCAAGGGAACGCATTTCTGCAGGTACTGGATTGATCCGAAGATATTCTTCCCTCCATATTTAGATGTAGATTGAGGGCACAGGGCAACAGAGTTGTGGTCTAGTGGGTGCTGTATAAGTCTTAGAATGAGTAGGATACAATATGTTGAGATTGTATATTAATGCATGTATTAATGGATTTTATTAAATAGCTCCTGTCTAAACTCATATGATACTTCATTCCTATGATTTCATTTTGTAAAATAATTCTTAAATTATAAATTGAGAAAGCTTTGTTTCTGTTCAAGAAATGTGAAAAAACAAAGGTTGATTGATAAAAAATTATAAAGTCAAACATTGGACATGATGCCTATCTTGCTCAGGGAGATGTCTTCGAAAGTGCCCCTCCAAATGCCCTTCTTTAATAACATTTAAGAATAATCATTTGTCTTAACAATAATTTTTTTTCCTATTGTTATCCTAACTAAAAGAGGCGTAAAGCTCCTAATTATATCTTTACTGGTATGTAACAAGCATCCATATCTTTTTATCTTGTTGATACCTTTATTTAAATTTTCTTTTCCTAGTTACTAACAGCTGTTCTGATCTTTTGCTTCTCATACCTTTATTTGAGCTTCAGATTCCTGACCGAGTTGTTACATGCAACAGGCTGATGCTGCAGGATGTGCTTGTGCGGGGGATGTGATGACTTTCTTACATGATGAAGATGATACGGGAGAGTAAGGATCTATTTGGACTTTTAATTTTAGTGGGTTTAATTTTGTTAACCAGTTAGTTTTTGCTTCACTTATATTCTGAAAGTGTTGTCTTAAATACGTCCCTTTAAAAACTTCCAGGAACTTCTCCTGGATGAATGGAAGTGCCATGTATCACAATCAAGTTCCTCACTTTCTCCGCATACAACTATGTTGCATATTGTTTGGGCAAGGACCTAGCGCCTTCCTGTTTTGTGTACGGGCAAATTGTGTACCATTCCTTGTTAATCAATAGGCAGAGAAGACCTTATCAGCTAGATTCCTGTTTTCAGTCTTTGGCCAAGGAGGTGGTAGGTCAACCCCTAAACCTTTTTTCTGTTGGGGGTGAGGATTTTGAGGTAGGAATACTGAATTAGATTCTGTCATGTCATGTAAATGTCATAGAAAGAAATTATGATAGCAAGAAAATGTCAAATTTGTGAGATTTTTGAGCTTCAGTGTAATGCTCTCAATTTGGGAACGTATATAAATTTGATTTTGATTTAGTCTCAATGGAAACGTATGTGCATGCACAAAGTTCTGAATGGTGATTTCTTTTGTGCTGTGTTCCACATACTGGGTTTTCGCTTCTCTCATCGCATCATAATTACCTTGCTTCTTTATTTTTAATCCCCTCTACTCCGATGAGATACAGGCTTTGATTTATCGTTGCTTTACGAATAACAGATTCTTGCGAATTTTTATAATAGACTTTGACTTTCATATTTGCTAGTTTTTGCTAATGCCCTGCTAAACGTTATATGTTTATGTTCTACAAGGAGTCTCCCCATGTTATTTCCTTTATTTTGTTTGGAGATATTAAAACATATTTTTTTAAGATGTGATGCACGTAAGGGTTGTAAAACTGAATCCGACTCCAATGCTGCAGCCAGTTGTGGCCACAAGGTCTCTGAAACGACCCACAAACCAGCGCCCCTAGCACTTGACCTCTGGCTCATGTCCTAGCACTTGACTTCTGGCTCATGTGACCCTGTTTTTGATGGCTGTTGAGACCATTCCTAGCACCGGGCTACAGTTTAGCACCTGAAAATCTATGTCCCGATTAGATAACAAAGGCAGGCCCTTCCCGACCTAGAACAAATCTTGGGAGCATCAGTCCATGCTTGTGGTCCAATCAATCAAATCCTGGAGATGAGCTCATTAGTCGCCTTCAATATGACCTTGTGAATATTGTTGGCACTGTCCGATATGGAGCTCTGGTTTATTTCCACATTGCTTGCCTCTTCAGTGGTCACATATAAAGACATTACCAATGTAATTTGACATGGATCTGTGACTCAGTCTACCACGTCCATCAACTAACCAACCCATCTTGCACTTGAAGTGGCTTTCATGAATGCTAGTTGCCATAGTTTTCCAGACATAGGCTGAGAAGGCTTCGATCTTCATCTTTTTGTTACCATCGACATTTCTAATATCTTCAGGAGTGCACTCGACAAAAATGCATCTTTTTGTTACCATCGACATTTCTAATATCTTCAGGAGTGCACTCGACAAAAATGCGATCGAAAGGAAGTTGGTATGTAGGAAAGATGTGTGGTGGAAGGTTCGCCCCGAGATCAAGATCCAATATGTAGAAGAGAGGCATGTTTCAAGTTAGTCGGGGCCAGGAGGAGAGAGTTGCTGAAAGTCTGAAAGCATATGCATCACCTAGAGCATGGTCAAATGTGAAAGTAGTGGACAACCCTCCGCAAGTGTATTACGTTACTTGGACCTGCATGGGAAAAGCAAACTCGTCTATGTCGAGGCAGGGCACGACTGTCCCTTCAAGGATTACTCTGGCTTGTCTGCGGGTCTTCAACAATTCAACCAGCAAAAGGGTAGTAATAACTCAAAGAGTTTTGGCGAGGGAAGTCTTGAGCGACTCAAACAAAGTGTTGCTGTCATTGATCAAATCTCTATTCGATCTGTTGTGACGATATAAGTACAAGTATGTCATGGGAAAACGGCCAGAGAGAATATCGAGGTATGAAAGTGCAAGTTTACGGTGACGTTCTGGTGAGAGAGAATCACTCAGCTTTCAGGATGCACTTTTTTTCTTTCTCAATTTCACTTGCAGTTATCTTTCTTTCGGATTCTGCCCCATCTCTCAGGAACTCGGATCTAATTGTTACAAAGCCCTTATATAGAATTCAACGAAGCATTCGTCGAGTATATGATGATGATGTAATAAAACACATAACATTCATCACTGCTAACAAGAAATCCCACGTTAAGATAAATAGACATTGCATGTGAGCCGTTGGTGCTTATCTATCAATCACTTCTGCAATTTGCAAAGCCGATTCATGAAAATAAAGCAAGTGCTACTCTACTCATTGTTTTACCACATTTCTCTCTTTCCTTTCCTTTCCTATTTTTACAAAGTTGCCCAATCCAACTTACCCCATTCCTCCCTTGAAGATAAAAATAGGCTTTCAATTCCCATAGCACAATTGTACCCAACTTTATGATTACACAACTCCAATTCCACAACCAAATATAATACATCGAACAAACCAAATTCAGTTCACCTGCTAAATGGATTTTCGGGTTTGAGCATTTTTGCCTTTGGTAATTTCAAATTCAACACCTATTGGCAGATGATCACTCGGGTGGCTATAGTTTGGCAACCCACCAGCAACATCAGGCGAATCCAACCTTGCAAGTGGGAGAATGCTGACAGCCTTTAGGCCATCGGACGGAGAAAAGAAAATATAGTCAATTGTATTTTTAAACTTGGGAGTGCAGGTCGTAAACGGCGGTTCTCTCTAGCAGAAGCATAAACGCTGCACAAGGGAAGGGGACATTCTTCCAAACGTCTATCTGATGATGCTGACAAAGTGTTACCAGAAATAAGATACCGATAAACCTGCAAAACATAACTAACAACATTCAGAATGTTGCAGAAATAACAGAAAAACAAGCTGTTGGTAACCACTCAAAGCCATACCTCATCTCCAGGAGTTGAGTTGAAGTCACCACACAAAACTACTGAAGGAGTACATTTGAATCTGCCTGACACACTCACACAAGTGTTTTAAACTGAGCTAAGCGTGCTGAAAGACTTGTGACAGGCAGATTCAAATGGAAAGCGTAATAGTTTTTGGCCTTTGAGCCTCTCTTCTTTCTTCTTTTCGTTCTGGTTTCTGCAGAAATCTTCTTCTTCTTCGTATCTCAGTTTCTAAAATATTTATTTCTTTGTAATTCCATCAATTGCCCAGTCTTTTTCCATATTTTCTACGTTGACCCCTTCAAGTTGTTGTTAGTCAATTTCTCCTTCACATCCATTTTCCCTCGTTCATTCATTTTTCTGTATATTATTTTATTTCTTTCTAGGTAAAAAGACACCGAGGTCTCTGAATTTAAAAAAAAATAATCAATGTGACACTAATCCTAATTTTTTATATTATTGTAGCCCTTCAACTCGAAAAAAGAATTCAATGTAATTTTTTTATCAATATTTTTCGTTGGTGACTAATAGTTTCGTTAATTACTGTCGTTATAAATTAAATAAATTACACCATTCATTACTCAACTATTTTCTTCTCTTCCATTTTAATCACTAAACTTTACTCATCATCTATTGAACTGATCTTCTCTGTCGACAATAATGACACTATTTCCGATGAATTTGAAGTAATCATATGGAATATCTTCGTTGAACCTGCATTAACAGTAACCATCAAAACTGTCTTTCAAAATGACAAACTCAATGTCAAGGGAAGTTCAAAATCATCTTACCTTGATAAACATATTTTCTGTGACGGTTACAGGTGTCAAACATTTTCAAAACTTCATTTTAGATTCCGAAGTTTTCTCTAATAGAACATGTAGTTCTTCTATAGCCTTAGAAACACTTTGTTCATCACTTTGATTTCTGGGTTCATTTAAATCAGTGGTGTTTTCCAGCCTGAGTTGATGAATTCATTATTCAATATTATGTTTATGTTTCTTCCTTTCTCTTTTGTTGTTGCTTTTCGATTATGCTTATAAGATTGTATTACCAACGTTATTTTTGGATAATGATAGTACCGTATTTTATAAAAAATATTTTTGTAATATATATATATATATATATATATATATATATATATTATACAAAATATATTTTTTTGAATTGGGTACAAAATATTTTTTTATCTATATAGTAAACAATGACAAAAAAATAGGGTAAAATACACAATCATCCCCAGACTATATGTTGATTTTTTGTTGATTCCCTCGACTATTAAAAGTTATAAAATGATTTATCAACTATAATTCATTGCTTTTTTGAGTCCATCGACTATAAAAAAAATGGTAATCCGACTATTCATGTTCCAAATTTATCCCTTTTCGTTAAAAATTGACAGTGGTTTGAGTTGAACATTAACTTGCTAATTGTGATATGATAAAGTCTGATTCTAAAGTCTCAAACGACTATCATATTCCAGTCATCATGTTAATGTTCAACTCAGTCGATCGTCAAATTTTTAACGAAAAAGTACGAGTTTAGAACATATAAATAGTTGGATGATCATTTTGTGACTTTTAATAGTTAATGGATTAAATAAAGCAATGCCTATAATCAGCTGACCATTTTATAATTTTTAACAGTCGAGGAACTTAACAAAGTAATATTATACAATCAAGGGACTATTTATGTAGTTTACCCTAATAAATAATATGCTTACGTTTTGGTTATGTTGTGCAATGGCCGCAATCCGCGGAGGTCTTTGTCGGAGGATTTAAGGTTTTACCAATCCTAGTAAGTATTAACAAAGACAAATTTATTGTATTAGCAAAGACGACAACAAAAAAACAGTGTTTCTTACAAGAAATTCAGACAGCATAAAGGAGCAAACCACCCTCAGGATCAGGCTGTCCTCTGCGGCATTTTGAACATGTATTTTTAATGAATCAGATCTGATCATACAGCTAATCGCTGGACTTTGCTGACAAAAACGATGGTTCCGAGAGAACGCGAGCTCTCTGGTACGTGTTCTTGTGACTTGATGCATCTTTGGGAATGAGTGGTTCCGAGGACCGTACAACCTGAGGCATTATAGCCGTAGCCGAGTTTCTTTCTCTGTAGGATGCCCAAGTGACGATATATAGACCGGCGATTATTAGAAATCCTCCGATAACACTGTTTATCACGCATGAAACACAATCAAATGCAGTGAATATAGATGCTTAAGCACTGGTTTTGTACTAGATGAGAGGGATAGGTTCTAATTTGTAGCCGAAGAGACGGAAACAAAACCTTCCCAAATAAATCGGACTTCCAAGGAAAATCCTCGATAGAAAAGCAGATGCCGCAGGTTGAAGTGGATTATAGAGAGCGACTAAAGCCGGCCCCAGGATTTTATTCGACCATGTCAGGAGTCCGTAGGTAAGAGCCGATGCTGCAACTCCCTGCCAAAGCCAAACATCCACACATATCAGATAATTTTTTCATACTTCCACAGCCTTGGTTATGTTTCATGATAACACTAGCAGATCGAGCATGGAGCAAAGAGGTTTAAAAACCATGCATGGATATCAGATAACATTTCCGACTCAGATAAAGCCACGACTCTGATACCGGCTAATCTGAGATCCTATAAAATAAAGAAGAAACTTACAGCATACACGACGGCAAGAAGCTCGGACTGTGTCAGATGCCAGTCTGTTGACTCATTGGTGACTAGAAATGATGTGATTACCATCAATATAGCACCGAACGAATAGGAAAGCGCGGTCACGGAAATGTTGGCGGGATACTTGGCTAAAACTGGAGCCTGGAATTGTTAGAAGAAGTGAAATTTCAGATACGCCAAGTATTACAAAAAGCAAAAGTTGTGTGCTGTACAAGCAAAGATAGCCGGAAAGCTCCATGGATGGTTACTCCAGGAAATGATTAAAACAAGAATGACATAGAATTGCAGTGGACCTATGGGCATTCGATATGCTGAAATTGAAACAAATCCGGTTGTATGATCATAGCTAAAAAGTAGCTTCATAAACATTGGCTGTAGGCAAGATGATCTGATTATATAATCTCAAAGCCTCTTAGCGGAAAGGGATCGGATTGCTAAAATTCTAACAAGCCATATATCAAACCGTTCAGGGAACAAGGGCAGCATATCAAACCTCGAATCATGTTCAAGATCACACAGGCTGTTCCCTCTTTATTTACTTGAAGCAATTTTTTCTCGATCCTACGACATTGAATCTACTACAAGCAAAGAACATGATTTACAGGAAAGCAAGACTTGCTCTGATTCATCCGAAAATCAATGACATTGCATACCTGAAAGGCCAGGAAAGCAGCCATGCACATACAGTTCCCTATCAAGCATAGAACTCCAATATGCCAATGATCGAGTCCGAACTCGAGAATACTAGACATAAGCCATCCGGCAGGCTCTGGTCGACCCCTGGAAATTAGGTCATTTTGGGCAACAAGGTCTGCATTTGGCTGTCCAAGCAAAGCCGGACCACGAAACAGAACCATTAATATTGCACCAGAAACACAGATTAGGGTACCTCCAACCTTTGCTTGACCTTCAGTTTTGAGAAAATTCACTCTTTCTGTACTGCGCGAAGAATTTCATACAAATTATGGCATAAAGTAACAGACATATAGAAATTAAACAGAATCAAATAAAATTTAGGGGGGAAAAGAAGAAAAGCAGATAAAGTTGTGAATGTACCCCATGATTAGAGCCAAGAGAAAGGTAAAGACTGGAATTGAAGGTTGTATGGCAGCAGCATAAGTTGGATTTGTGTAGCTCAGACCAATGAGGAATAAAAGCTGGTTCCCAAATATCCTATTCCAATCAAACAAAACCGGATATGTTGCTGGCTAAGACCAAATTTTATCAGGCACAATGATATTCAATGTATAACATATTTACATACATGATGGGTCGAGGGGACTAACGAGGACGGTCACCCAAAATTTAAAACTTTCTATAATTTTATAAATTTGGTCACTTAACGTAGTCCACCCAGATTTCAGATGAACTAGTATTGGTTTAGAGAAGTGAGACTCACCCAGTTAAGCCAAGGAAGAAGAATGAGAGGAGGAGGCGTTTAGTCATAGGAGGTCGAATCCTTCTGCAGGAAAGTGAACAAACATGGTTCAAAGTTTAGCTGTGGATTGCAAAATTTATCAAACTTTGATTCAAAATTGATGCCAAAGAGATGGAAGGAAAAAAAGGTCGTACTTTTCACGGACATAGGCGACGGGGGCAAGAATGGAGAGAGCAAGCAGATCACGGAAGACGCAGAAAACAAGCTGGTTGACACCGACATTGAGGGCTACTTTGGTAATTACATGATAGCCTCCATTGATGAGTTGAACCAAAGCCATGGAGGCATTAGCTTTCCATGCTTCCTTCTCAAACCCTCCGTTCACTCCCGCCATGTCCTTCCTTCTCACTCCAACCAGACGGCAGGGAATTGCAGCAAGGGGGAAAATTTTTAAAAAAAATGAGAAGTCTTTTTGGTGATTTGGATTATGAGAGTGGGGAAACTGAATTTTACAACCTCAGAGAATTGAATGGGTTTCTGGTTCGTGTTAGGTGACAAAACAAAAGGGTGTCTTCAAAGGAACCAAAAAGCGGTTGTTGGATAACAACTGCATGCTGCCCTTGGAGCTTCGTTTGCTGCTTCTGTCTTCATTTTTTGTCTATTCCCTTTGAGTTTCGTTGGGTCTTTGGTTTTCGGAATTTTGCAAAATTGAAGGGGTATTACTCTAAAAATAAACAAGGGCAAACTATTCATATGATCATTTAACTATTGTCACTTGTTATTTGAACTATCAATTTTAAACTTTTATCAATCAAATCACCTAACTATTTAATTATGTCAATCAAATCACCTAACTATTTAATTATGTCAATCAAATCACTAACCAAATTGTTCTTTCCTAATCATTTTAATAAATAATTAAATTTTTTTTTACAAAATCCCTAAAAAATTATTTTGATTCGACAAAGAATTACTCGATAAGCCAATGCTGATTGTTTCGATGGATGACTAATCAACACACTTTACACCTACTTCTAAAAATCTTTAAAAAAATAAAATAAAGTCTTAATATTTTTAGGTAAACTACACGTTTAATATTCAATTATCCGTTTTGTTTCATTTTGATTATCTAATTATTATTTTTTTAAAGTCATATCTTACTTTAAGTTTTGATTTCATTTTAATTATTCATTTTTTAAAAAATAACAGAACTACTGACGTGATACTTTTTAAAAAAAATCAATAATGACATGTCATTATTTTATGGTGACGTGTTTAGCATCACCGTTAACTTTTTAATAATGGATGACCAACATGAAACAAAAATGTTATGTAAGGTATGGTTTTAAAACAAAACATAGTTGGATATCCAAAACAAAAAAAAGTGAGAGTTGAGATGTTAAACGTGTAGTTTACCTTATTTTTTTCACTTTGCATCTTAGTTATATTTTTTCATCCTACACGTTACGGGCTGAAGTCGTGAGGTATTAATTAGGGACAAAGTTTAAAAAGTTGGTTTGTGATCAAGATAAAAATAAAAGAAGTTACAAGGTCAAAGTAAATTTGGTTTTTAATAACTTAAATTAAGTTTTGAGTTGGTAGGAGGAGTAAATATATAATTTTTCATTAACTAGAGGGCTAATAAAGACTAAATTGGACTAATTAATTTTTGAAAGACTTGTTATAATTTTGTCATTCACCAAAGACCCCTACTTGTCTCACTTGGGTAAACAAAGCTTGTATGTTGAATTAACAATCGTTGGGGTGGTTTCGTTAATAAAATATAAGATTATATTTGAGAATAATATTATCGGAATATTGTATTAATTTATTGGCAATGTTATATTATTTTGTTTGGTTTGTTTGACAGGAACGTAAGAATATAGTATTTGGTTGAGGGAATATAAGATTATTAGAATATATATTTTACGAAATTGTCCTTGTGATGTATCTTTTAATAAATGTAATTCTTAATATTAAAATAAAAATATTTATATAAAAAATTATAGAAAATTTTTTTTATTATTATTTCTAATCTCTATATTATATTTATAAAATTTTAATTCATAGAATTTATATATTTTCTTTTATAAAATTTTAAAAAATAAATGAGTACAATAAAAGATGTATATCATATATTTATTTTTTAATACATAATGAAAATGTTTCCCATCCTGCTGGTGATCGAGTATAAATCCGAACTTTAAATTGTTGAGACCATGTTGTATTTATCATCAATATAATATAATTTATTAAGTCATAAATATTAATTATGAGAGAATAAAAACAAAGTAAATGATTTATTACAAAGTTTAAAAGAATAAAAGAAATGATAATTTTAAAATTATTTATTTATTTTAGGGGTATTTTTGTCTAAAATCATAGAAATTGTTAAATTCCTAAGGCAGATGAGGGAATAAGATTCCCAGGAATCCAAGCAAAAAAAATTATTGTTAATGCTCTATTACCCCTTAAAGGGAATTCTTTTAAATTAAATATGAGTATATGATTCTGAAAAATATTATTACTCTCGGTAATACTCTTTTCCTTGATCCAAATACTCTCTTAACTTCCGTAAATAAAGTAATGCATCCTTTCTCATCCACATTAGTTTTCTTTTTTTTTTGTCCATTCCCATATGACAATAATATGAGAAATTATATGAAATGACAGAGTAATATAAGGCCGTCTAACCATCGTCAATTGACACCGACCACCTTCTAGCGGCGTCGAAAAAAGGGAAACTATACGTTACCGACGCATCTCAACCTCTTCATTTTAGATCCAATGTCAATTTTTCTTAAAAACGATTCGATAGCCGTAGATCTACAAATATTTACTTTCGTTTTTTTTAAGTTTCAATGCCGATGAGAGAACCATTGAGGCCTTCGAAGACAAGGGAAGTTCTCCTTTCTCTCTTTCCTATTATTCTTTTTCTTCGAATCTCTTTTTTCTCTCTCTATATTTTTTGAATCATCCCTCGAAAATGGTCTTCCTTCCTTTGTTTTTCTCTCTTGCATTGAGAATTGAGGGAATGATGTAATGCTGAAACTTTCGCACTAGAATACGCACCAAACAACCGACACATCGCCTGCCAAATAGCTGAAGATGTAGTCACCCAATCAAATGAGGAAGAACATCATGAGAAACGGCGGATAAAATCCAGGACGCAAGAAGCTTATCCTATTGATGTTAAACAAAATAAAGCGAATTTTCAACAATAACCATCAACGATTAACAAAACTTGATGTTTCCAAAGAATAAACGAATTTTTGCGAAAAGCTTAGCAGTGTCAAGCTTAGGTAAATGTTGAACAACAGTTCGAGACAAAGAAGAACTCCCTAAACCACCATTCGCACCACTAATCACCGGAGAGGACTGACTAACGTCAAGAAGAGGTGGACCAACAGCCATGGCAAGCAACGATGATTGTGTCGGAAAAGAAACAAACTCACACAGCCCTAACATATCAAAAAGCGACTGATACCATCTTAAGAATACATAAGAGATGCGACACTCTCTATTTTATTGATAAAGCCCGTAATATCCTCAAGAGGTCCAAGTAGATTTATATAGAGGGAAGGGCACAACTAAGGTGGGGAACGAAACACAAGCATATAATCGGGTAGATTTGACCCAGAACCGGCCCATCGTACACATGCTTGGTCGCACATACAACCTCGTATCTAATCCATCCACCCACTGGAAAGTGTTCGGCCTTTTCAGAAGATATATATATATCTAAGAGAAAATAACTTCAGTGACCGAAAATGTTTTATAATATACGATTTTAACTAACTTTTTTTGGATTTGCAAAAATAACAAATGAATTCGCAACTCGAATTTGGAATTCGCAACACAGAAGTAGAATTCGCAACTCGAACATGAAAATTTTTGCAACGCGAATTTCATTTTTCGCAACTCGAATTCGCAAATTTCGCAACTCTAATTCGCCAATTTCGCAACTCAATTACCGATATATGTAAATATGGTAAAAAAATCCGGTAAAAAAACCGAATTCGCCAATTTGAAAACTGAGTTGCGAATTTGACAAATTCATGTTGTGAATTTGACCAATTTCGCAACTCAATTACCGATATAGGTAAACACGATAGAAAAATTTAATAAAAAATTCAAATTCGCCAATTTAAAAACTAAGTTTCAAATTTGACAAATTCGTGTTGCAAAATATAAAATCTTGTCTCTTAAAGAAAAAATCGTTTCGACGGTTCGTTTGTTTAATTAAAGTTAAACGAACGAACATAGACATACCCTCGTTCATGTTTATTCAATTCATTTACATGCATAGGTTTAGCTGAGTGATTCATACGTGGACTTAGCAACTGAGATTTTTCTTTAAGAGTCGAGATTTTACATTTCACAACACGAATTTGCCAAAATCATAATTCAGTTTTCAAATTGACGAATTCGGATTTTTTTTCGAATTTTTTTACTATATTTTCCTATATCGATAATTGAGTTACGAAATTGACGAAATTCGCGTTGCGAAAATTTTCATGTTCGAGTTACGAATTCTACTTTTGTGTTACGAATTTCAAATTCGAGTTGCGGATTCAGAAATTATGTTGCGAAATTGAATTTCGAGTTGTCAATCCGAATTCGAATTACGAATTCATTAGTTAATTTTATAAATCCAAAAAAAATTTGATTAAAATCGACATTTTCGGAAGTTTTTTTCTCTTTCACCGTCGGCCAGCGAGTTAATCGTCAGATCACCCACCGATCTTAACGATGACCTTGTCCGAAGAAGAAGATGAGCTATTGACGAACTTCCTCGAATCCGAACTCTCCGATGAGGTAGGCTTCCCAACCCCCATTTTTTTCTTTACCGATAATAACTGTATACTCCTCTCATGAAATTGAATTGATTCCGATTTTAGGAGGAGCCTGAAGCCAAGCGATTGCGCATTGTAAAGGAATACGAGGAAAAAGAAAGCGAAGACGATGGGGCTTCTTCGAAAATGAACCCGAACCCGGGCCAAGTGAAGAACAATAATAATAGGAGTGTTCCTAGGGGAATTGAGAGTGGTACTTTCAGCAAGATTCCACCCGAGTTGTTTACTCACATCCTCAAATTTCTCTCGTCCGAGGTCGTTTTTTGTACTGTGTAAATTTTCGTCTTCTCTATTAAAAAAAGATTCAGTTTTCTTATCGTGTTTGTTATGTGCGAACTTACAGGATCTTGTTTCGTGCTCGCTGGTGTGCAGTTTCCTGAATTATGCGGCATCTGATGAATCCTTATGGCGCCGCCTGTGAGTGTTTTACTGCATTTGATTTCTGATGTTCCAACTTCGAAGTTTCCTTCTAGATTTTAAATTTTGTTGATTGTTTGTAGTTTGTACTCCTTGGCCTAGGCATAATTAAAGTCTTCCTGTGTAAGATAAATAGAATTGGAGTGACCGAAGGCTCATTTCCACTTCCTTTCAGTGTCTAACATATGTCTAGGTTACAAATTCATTGACTTGTTTTAATGAATTTTGCATTGACTTGTTTTAGTTAATTTTTACATAGATTTAGGACTGTTGTATGAGTGAAATAACGGTTAAATCTATGTAAAACTAAAAAAAAATTAGATTGTGTAAGTGAATCCTAGATATTGTAAAGGACTAAAGGTGTGCTTTTTTCACACTTGTGGTTATCTATATGTATCTATAAC